CCTTTGCTCTATGATAAGAGTAATGCTGATTCCATGGACAAATATTAATACAATTTTTAGGGTTCTGCTATTGGAAATCTATCATGTTAATAATGTTAGACTAACATTCTAAATAATTTAAGTTGCATTTTACCTGTAACTTGAAAAGTTGATATTCAAAAAACCAACTCCAAAATTATATTAAATACAGGCATATAACCTAAAAGCTGGTTGGAAGTCTTCCAGAATGGGTGGTGGTGGGGTGTGTGTGTGTGTGGTAGGATTGCAGTTATTTTATTTATTTATTTTAAAGTTGCACCCCTAGTCAGCTCCTTTGTTGATTGATATTTGGTGGAATTCTCTTTCTTTTTGACCATACCCTTCAAGAAAGGAAAATATGGACTGATGATTAAGATTATCATCAGCATTTCCAATATCAGATATTTTCCAGACAAGAAACGGAGTGAGGTAAAAGATAAGAAACAGCAAGTTTCACATTCCAAGAATGTGTGGGTGGAGTTCTTTTGGTTTTTTGTTTTTATTGCCTTTGCATTCTGGCAGTTTTTTCTCCTTTGGGTGGAGCTCCTTTTCTGAAAGGGGATGCACTTAATTTGGAAACTTGTAAGATGCATGAAAGGGTTTGGTATTCCCCTTCAAAGTACATTACTTTGCCTGTATGCATGAAAGTATGTTTGCTGATGTGGAAGGTAGCTCTTTTCAACTTGTATTTCAAATTCCTTTGTCTTGAGATTTCTTATTGATAAGTTTTACATTCTTTTACACCACTGAGCTCTTTTGGATTAAAACACACTGAAAGACTCTTCAGACAGGAACCAGAGTGTGTTTGCATAGTTGCACAATCCAGGAACACGTCTTCCAGTGAAAACGGGTATATCACAGTGAGCTGCGAGTGAATCTGCATTCAGCAGCAGGCTAGATGTATTTTTCCCATTTTCACCGTGTTAGCAGTAGGCAAAATTTGACAAGTCTATTTTTATTGTTTCTCTCTCTTCTTCCCTCATCATTTTATGACTGATTTTTTTTTTTTTTTTAAGTGAAAATTTGTATTCTGGACATGTGAAGTATATCTAAGGGACCTGACTGTGTATTGATCAGTATTCTGATTCACACAAAGATTTCCTGGTCACTTTGTATGACTGCAAGCAAGTGCTTATCCTGCTGTTCATTTTAAAGCCATTCTCTTTGTATGGTTGAACTGACATATATGTACCTATATCAGTATAGTGTTATTATTAATTTACTGTGGTTTTGATTGTATGACTGAACAAAATTGTTTAATGAAGACATGGTCTTTTGCAGAAGAAATGTGCTTTTACTCTGATGCTAATTTTCAACTAACTGCTTTAAGTGATTTTATTTCCATGTTCAACTGCTTGATACAGTCATAGTATTGTAATTTTCTGATGTTTTCAGTGTTACACAGTTTGATTGAAAATCTGTTTACACATAAATAAAAATAATTAGATCTTATAAAGACATGTAGGTTTAATTTTTTGCATTACTTTGGTTATGAAGATTCCAGCTGGCTATTTGCAGAAGAGAAAAGCCAAGAAAGAAGTACTGAAGTGAGTCCTGCTTTTGGGAAACACATCCATCTGCTTCTACAATTAATTATATGGCAAAGGCATTTGTGATTAATTATTAAGGCATTCATTATTAAGGGTGCTAAGAATCTTAATACAGTTTGCTAGTGAAATGCTGAACATATTTCAGTGGCATCAGGCATTCAGACTGAAGATCACTGTACTACAATTACTGTGGGAGTATTGACAGAGAAAGAATATTCTTTTGATCCCATTAGAATTCATGAATATTTGCTTGCAGTATATTGTGTCTTAGGATTGCAAAGCCCAAATGAAGAGATACAATCAGGGCTTTATCCTGTCAGATCTTGAAAAACCTCCAGAGATAGGCAACCATTTCCAATGCTTGCATTCAAAATATAACACTTGTAGGTGTTGCAAGGCTACTTTTAGGGTCCCCCTGAAGCCTTCTCTTCTCCAGATCAAGCAAACCGACTTTCCTCTGCCTCTTCTTAAAGTACGCCAGCCCCCCAGCCCTCTTGGTGGCCCCCTACTGAACTCATTCAAGGTCATCAAGTCTGTCTTGTACTGTGGGGCTTAAAACTGTGTACTGTAAAGTCTAATGAATGCTAGGTAGAAGGCAATAATCTCTGCCCTTGATCTTCTAACTGGCTGTGTGCCTGTGAATATAGCCTAGGATGCTCTTTGCTGCCAAGTCACAGTGCTGGCTCCTGCTAAGCTTGCTGTACACTAAAATCCTCAAGTTTTTTTCAGCAGCTGCTCCCCGGGGAGTTAGTCTCCACCTGGTGTGGCTGCAAGGGGTTCTTCCCTGCAGAAGCAGGACTTTGCTTTAGTCTTTTGTTGGATTTCCTAGGGTTCTTGTCTGCCCATTCATCCAGTCTGTCTGGCTCCCTTTGGATAGCAGCCCTGCCCTTGAGCATATTGACTTGTCTCCCAGCTTGGTGTAACCTACAGGGTTTGTGAGCAAACACTCTTGTCACCTCTTTCAGGCCTCAGATAAAGATACTAAACAGAACAGGTCCCAGTATGGATGCCTTGATACTCTTGTTACTGGCTTCCAGGTAAAGCACAACCTATTAACCACTACCTCTAAGCCTGATTATAGAACTAGCTTTTACCTTGCTACTTGTCTACCCATCCAGACCATAATGCCTTAACTTGAATATAAGTGTGGATAGGTTATTTCTATGCAGACCTTCTAATCTGTACTATGAATTATCAAATGAACAATTATGTGGCAGTTTACTTTTCTAGGCAAGCTGTCTCTGTATCCTAAATGCTTTCCTTAATGGAGATACAAGTTCTTTGTCATTCATTAAGTGTGCTCATGTGACATTATTTTGCAGAGAAGCTGTGAAGTTCTAATGGTAATTTTGATGGGACTGTTTCACACCACACAGGTAGAATCCTTTCACACAGCTTCTATAGTGTCAATTAGTGGTTTTGAGTCACTAATAATGGAAATGATCTGGGCAAATATTTTTTTATTTACATTTCAAAAGAATAGTATTATTAACTAGAGTAAATACCATTCTTTGGGATGTGTTGTCTCACGCAGAAATAGGATTGGCTGAGAATAAGTGTTCTTCATTTCCTTGGTTGAAGATGTAAAGGATACTCATGACATTCTGGCTCAGGTAGTCTAGCATTCTGGCATGTTTGGTGAAAGTACATCAGCTTCTGAGAGAACAATCTTGAGGGACCACGGTTAATTAAATCATGTTAGCATTTAATTTTTAAGTAGAATTTCCCTGGAAGTGAAAATTCTAAGGAAAATACAAACGTTGAATTCATATTATGAATACTTTTCCTGCCATATCTTGGAAGACCACTAGGACTTCAGGCTATGAATATTTTTACTTGTTTGTGAACAGCTTTTTGTGCTGCAAAGTAAATACATAAAATCTTTGCCATTAAAAAACCTCTATTAATTTAACTGATGTAGGGAATAAGAAAATAATAAAAGAAAAAATTTTTTTTAGTCTGATACTTAGTATTGACTAGAAAGATGAAAGCTAAAATGTTAGAGGAATGATAGTGTGACAAACAAATGATGTGGTTAATCCTTACATAGCTTTTATTCAATATGGACTTGTAACAGTGCTTACTCTCAAAAAGAAACTGAGTTTCATTTTTGCTTTAGTGCCAAAAGTTCAGATGGTTTTTGGAACTTCATCTAAACTATCCTGTGTCTTCAATTGCTAAATTTGCCTAGCTGTATTATGAAAGAAGATATTACAGGAGTTCTGGTTTTCCTTCCTTTAGGCAGCCTAGAGAAAGCACTGGTGTACTCTTAGAAATCAGGAAAATGAAACTAATTTTGAAAAAAGGAACAGAAGCAAAGTTGTTCAGCAGTGCCATTCAAGCTTAGCTTGTCCTAGTTAAAGGATCAATTCAATTTGTATTTTTTTTCCCCAAGTTGGCTTTCTAGGTTAATATCCTGATCTAACTGAACCAGGGCTTGTTTATTGTTTTCATTGACCTCAGCAGTACAAGAACTTCATCCCCATTTCTTATTTTTGATGGGTCGTTGCTCCCTCACGTTCTTCAACTGATTGTCTGATCATCTGAATCACAATGTTTTCAATTTCTTAATAAAAGTCTGCAAACAGAGCCTAAAGCAGACTGCCTAATGAGTAATTTTCAATCTTTTAAACAGAAGATTACATGAGAAGTTTGCATAATCACTTTTTCAATCTTTCTAACTCTCACTGAAGAGATACAGTCAATTTCCAAATGACTGGCTACTCCAAAAAAATCACTGGATGTTGTCTGTGCTGTGCTGGCACACGTGGCAGCCATTGGCTGTGATGTAGGAATTTTTTAGTCGTTGTCGTTTTGTTTATTTTGGGACTCATAATAAAAAGTGCTAGATACACTCTTAGTGATGTGGCTGAATTAGTAGAGGAAAAGTACATGATGAGACACTTTTCCTCTTGACAGCAGGTAGAACTCTATAGAAATAGGCAAACAGCCTCATAAGTCATTACTCATTGAGTCACATAATGAAGTAGGCTGTTGTCCCACAGTGGTGATGAACTGGCCTCCAGAGACTAAACTTTGTGTTTAAGAGCCTGGAAGAACAGCCAGGCCTAGATGGTTAGCAAAGCAAACAAGGTTATGTTGTCATGTACATGTGGGAAATGGGGCATCTTCCATTCTCCCTTCCTCCCTAGCTGTGTAGGAATAAAGACAGAATTTTGACCAGAATGGATTCTCTCCAGACTGCACAACAGAACCTAGCATTTGCACGCTTTTATTTCTGGTGGTGAAAGAGGTCTAAATGCTGCATTTCATTAAGCCACAGTCAATAGAATTACTCTTGGTTTGTGGCATTATGTGCAATCTCTATTTGTACCTTATTATTTGTTATTCCTGCAAGTACAGATATACTTCTGTTATGCTTTAGTATACACTTTGTATCATTTTCAATAATTTATTTTTTTTATAACTTAGGATACAAAAATAGCTTCACTTGAGCGCAATATAAGAGATCTAGAAGATGAAATACAGATGTTAAAGACAAATGGAGTTCTGAATACAGAGGACCGAGAAGAAGAAATCAAACAAATAGAAGTTTACAAGAGTCACTCAAAGTTCATGAAAAATAAGGTAAGGTCTATTAATAAAATAGTTTAATGCTGTTTAAATAATGGAAACAAAAGTTTTAACTCTGTTTTCTACATGAACTTGTCTTTTTTTGGTAAATCTCAGATATGTAATACTCATTAGCTATGGACGAGTGAAGCATTTTGGATAAATAAAAATGTGTTTGTCTTTTTACTTAGTAAGAGGTAAGGAAAAGGCTATTGCATTATTTCTGCAGAGGCTATCATGAGTCTATATCATGTCCCCTTTCCCTTTCCTTGTGTATGGTGTTTTAATGATGGCTTTTTGAATTAGTTCATAATTTTGACTTGGACCATATTGGCACAACTTTAGTTGTTCATTTTTTTCTGGTTTTGACTGTAGTTTTACAGTAGGTACTGCAGTTCCATAGATGATTCCAAATTGAAATCTAGTATTTTAAAGATCTGTAATTTGATGACTTTGTTCCTGCAGAGTACCTTTCATTTGAAATTATTGTACATAGATAATTGAGTTGACCACAAGCAGATAGTAAATGTGTAGTGATGTAACACATTTCCTGGTATCAAGTTCACAAAACAGCTTGTTTATCAGAAGTAAAGCTTGATGTCCAAATTGTTGACCCAGCTGGTCTTTTTACCTCCTTGCATTTTGATATGCTCAGTTGCTGTAGGTAAAGATGAACACTCCCAATAGTCTTTCTTGTGAGCTCTAATATTTCTTTTGTGATATTTTTATGATTTATATATAATGTTACAATTTCTGCTGGTTTATTCCCAGCTCTCTACCTTGAATGTGTTTTGTTTATGAAGTGTTAAAATACTGAATTTAAGTAATCAAAAAAGGAAAAAAAAAATTGCGTTTATGGAGTCTGAAGCTGATGCTCCCATTTTCATATAAATAAATTTAGGTTTTGGAAATAGCATTTTTTGTATAAGCTAAACTAAGATGGGGCGAAACCAGTCACAGCAGTCTGAAGTGGAAACACTGAAGAGGAAAGCCAGCCATATCATCTCTTGCAGTGATTTTAAAAATTTTACCATAATGGCAGAATAAAATCTACGCAAACAGAATCAGTAGCAATGATTATTATGAAATAAAAGTTGGTCCATCATAGTTTTTTGTTTGGGTTCTTAACTGCTTAATATTTAGGGGGTTTGTGCAATCTTTCAGAGTTGGGCAAGCTAGAATTCAGAGAAAGTATGGACCTTGTCTAGAGTCAGAGAATGAAAAGGTGTCAGCACCTTCTGGAGAATCTGAGTTCTCTGATTTTCAGTTTTCTTTTGTAAAGTACATCTTCGTTATCTTCTTGACAAGCTGCTTTTACTTTGTCTGAATTCCACAGTGAGTACAGGAGTAAGAAAATTCACCACTGTGTAATATTGGATAGTGAAGATTTTCCATCTTAGAAAAGCTGTTACTGTTCCCCAGTTTGGAAACTGTAGTATCTTGTAAACTACCTCACAGGAAATGCTGATATCTTGCGACATTGGGGCATGTTTTTATCTTTTCCAGGGGGTTTGTGCTACAAAAGAAATCAAAGTGTTAGTGCCTATGTGGAATTAATCCAGATTTATTAAAAATAAAAATATCAAAGTAGATATTTATTCTGTTGAAAAAAGTAGCTCTTAAGCTACTGAAAAGTAGCTAAAGTTCCCAAGTAGAGCTATCATCAGGAAAATTATTTTGCCTATTTAAACATTGCTAATTTCAAAGCAATTCCATTTTAGTAATTTAGCAAAACTCCTAATGCATCTCAGCAAATCTGGTGATACAAACGTAATGTACAAAGCATAGTATTTTGTTAACAATTTTCTGTGGTTTTGAGAGGTAAAGCTTCAGTATATTTCTGTGGCACAGAAAGCAGACAAATGAGAAGACTCTTAAACGTGCCTTGTTTTGTCACAATCTTCTCATCTTTGATAAATGTGACATTCTGATGAAACTTTGTCTGTTTTCTTTCACCAGTCCATTACTTCTACTTAAAATTGAGATTTGCAGAAGATATTATTTTTATTATTCATCTGAGAACCTTCCAAGGTAGAAAAGTATTTGTGTAGCTGTCAGCAAACAGATCTTATTATACCTGATCTGTTGAACCTGGGATTGTTGATAAATTCTGATAAACGGAAGTCTTGATTGATGGTGAAGAGCAGAACAAAACTCTTCTCACAGTGAACAATCTTAGGTGCTATAAAGCTCTTAATACTTCACATTTATTCTTGAATTATATTTTGGTTTAAATCTGTTTTTGATTTAAAGAAATGGGATGGTGTTAAATGGAGGCCAATACTGAATATTATTTATTGTACATAAGTGACAGAGAATATTGGGAAGCGTTCCTTTTTTAAATAGTTCTTAGTAATAGTCACTTCTTCCAAATATATAGGCTTTAATTTTGACTAGCAATTAAATAAAAATTGTAGAAATGAGAAAGAAAACTTGCCTAGATTTCCCCCCCACTTAATGAGGACTCTCCTTGCTCTGTTTTTTAAGGGACAAAAATTGCTATCCCTCATACGAGCCAGAAGTTGTCAAAACAAGTTTTAAGATTTTCATGACTAAGGGATATGAAGCTTCAAATATCTTCATTAAGGATATAAAGAAAACATATACAATGATACGCGTTTTGAAAAATAATTTTTGCTTTGCAAGACTTCTCTTACTAGGGTTCATCCTTTTGCTAGCAGACAGATATTTAAAGGAACACTGCATTTTTTTCAGGTGTGAGTTTGCACTGTGGAATTTAAGTAGTTCTCTCAGCATGCTATTGACAGGAATGAGTATGAAAATGTAGTGACAGTTCAGTACAACTTCATCAAATTACTGTTAAGATGAGTTTTAAGAATTGGTTAGGCTGTAATAAAGCACTCTAATGTCTGTCTATAAGAACTTTACACACTGTATAATGGAAGCATGATTTTGAATCATTCATTCATTTCCCAGTTACTCTATGTAATGTCATGTAAGATTTTGGTGTGTAAAAATAATAAAGTAAGAAATAGGATAATGGTTTTCTGGAAACACTAGTGTCTAAGGAACTGAAGTTATGGGAGGTGACAGAGAAACATAAATTGAGAAGGAAGACAAAGGAACTAGGGTTTCAGGAAGGAGGTGAGGCAAGATCATATTGGTCAATGTTGAAAAAGTGTTGACAGGCAAATTACACATGTGAAATATGTGAGGTAGTGGGAAAGGTCACGATCAGAGGACAAACTTGGAGTTCTTTAGATGCTATAGCACTTATACCCAGGCTTGTAGGTTATCTTCAGTCTTTTTAAAGTACAAAAATGTTTTTCCCTTCGTCTTCTATTTTGTACTGAAATTGGGAGATCTCTTGAATCATGACCATTGGTCTTCCACACCACTTAAGATACAGCAAAGTGAAAATGTTTGCACATCTGCTGTTTAATTTTTTTTTTTTAATAACCACTAACGGATAATGTAGAACTTTAAAAAAGCAAATATACCCAGGTCTAAAAATTTCTTTTTAAAAGTGATGTGGTTTCTTTTTATGCCTTTGGGTTTTTTTGATAATTTATTTTAAATTGAAGTTTTAGTACATTTTCACCCTTATACTTTAATATTTATTTTTTAAATATTTATAAATATTTGAATATTTATTTTAATAAAACACTATTGAAAAGCATAATTATTCAAGCCATTTTTTTGTTGTTGTTGTGTTTTGGTATTTTTTTTTTTTAAGATTTTTTTATTTGAGAGCTCTAACACATTTTCAAACTCCTGGCAATTTATAGGTCTTGTAGACAAGCTTTATCCTAAACAGATTCTAAAACACAAAGAACATACCTGCAATGAAAATGAAGCTCTTTTTGTTGTTGTTGTTGATTATTTCTCAGGATGTGGGTTGTGTCATGGAAAAAAGCGGGAAGAGTTTCTAGGAGAGATTAAGCATCTGTGATGTTCACATGGGTCTCATATAAAGTGTGTGACGTAATTCATATTGGCTGCAGATTTACGTTTTGTCTTTATATCTTGTAGGCAGATTTTCCCATTGTTCATTTTGTATACATTTTTGTCTCAGTTGCTATACTTGCTTACATATTTTGGCAAGGGATGGAGGAAGGTCATTTGCTTTCAAGAGAAAGTTTTCTCTAGCCGTTTCTTAACTGCACTCTTTACATTTTCTTGACATCTGTTTTTTGTATGCTCCCATTCTTATTTTGATATTTTCAGAGTTTGAAGGTGATTGCTTTTAGTGCTAGTGTAGATTCTTGATTTTATACAGTAGCTCAGAGGTGGCTTGCCAAGTACCTTTACCAGCTAGACAGACATATTGAGATTTATAAAGAGAAACAAGGAATAAATATATTGACATACATATGGACTATAGTTGGAAGAAACATTTTTTAATATGATTTTTAAGGATACACTTGCAATGTAAACCAAATATAGAAATATTTTGATCAGCGGTAAATGTTTCCAGTGACTGTGCCACACAATATTGAATCTGAAATATTTTATTGTGTTGATCTTTAGGATGTGGCTGAGTAGGATCAGCCTGTGAATACATATTCTTTTTTTTCCTGGGGATTTTTGAATTGCCTTCCACTCACCCTTCTAGATTTCTTGGATCCCAAATGTCTGTTGGGATGCAGCTGATGGGAGAGAATGAAAGGAGCTCTTCTAGCACTTCTCTGGTTCTTGCAGAACTGAAACTTGAATTTTAAAGAAAAATGTCTAGGCGTTACAGTCATCCACAAAACTTTCCAAATATAAAGGAAGTATGGTTTATCTGAGTTACGCAGATGCACTGAGGTGTTTTATTTCAAATAATCCTCATGAGATGATGTATGGTCACTCATCTGGTGACCGGTGTTATTTCACAGGACTTTAGGAAGAATAGTTACGTCACCTATTTCACCATCCTTTATCATCATTCTGTGTATCGTCCAGTGCTTTGTTCAGTTTCCTATATTCTAAATCCACCATGCTTTTATGTTCTGCGGCTAGCCCTCCCATTTATCATTGTGGAAAGGGAAGAATAATCACAATTCCATGACATATAGTGATGAACATTAAAGTCAGAGAAGCTCCCTGTTAGTGACTGGGTTTCTGCTGTTTCCCCTAAGGTATGCTTTTACAGCCTCACAGGCCTTTCACTCTGTGGAATTTTTTATAACATTTTCCCCAGACTTCTCTTAAGTTAATCTCTTTGGCTTGGCTTTCCTAGTACCTGAGAGTTCCACATGAACTGCCAGGGAGGAAAAAAGGAGGTGGGGATGGTGGGCAGCAACACATTTGCAAGAAAAGTAAGGTTAAAATTCCACTTCTCTGTTTTCCTCTCTGTACAAAGATGCCTGCTTTTCCTTATCAGGCTCCTAAAAAACTTTGATTCAGTCTGGCGAATGATAAGTCACAAGAATCATGCTGTTGGAAGGAACAGGCTATTGGATTGAATTTATACTCTTATGAACACTTTTTTTCCTATGCATTTTTGCTGTTCTGCCAGACTTGCCTCACACAGGATAAATTCCTTTGCATCTAAGTGAGGTCTGTGGTGAATTTATAGGCCAAATCATCATGTATAATCTTTAAGAGTTTCCTTTTAACTTCTGCAACAGCAGGGCAATCGTTCTTAAGGCAGGGTACGTTAAATTAGAAGAAACTCAATTGAAGTTGTGAGTGTAAAAAAGTCCAAATCTTAATTGTGTTCTAGAATTTACAGGTGTCTGAGTTGTCATATCATGGTCGTTCATGACTTTCAGATTTCAAGTGCAACTATGAACTGGAAATGATCTAACCTTTTTTTTTTCCCCATTACAGATTGACCAACTGAAGCAAGAACTCTCAAAGAAAGAATCAGAACTTCTTGCCTTACAAACTAAGCTTGAAACCCTTAGCAATCAGAATTCAGATTGCAAGCAACACATTGAAGTGCTTAAAGAGTCACTTACTGCCAAAGAACAGAGAGCTGCCATACTTCAGACAGAGGTATTGTATCTTCTAATCATAAAATGCAATAGAAATATTTAGTTAATAGCATGAGTCAAGGTGATGATGTGTTTTTTGCAAGTCTGTGTAGAAGGCAGTTTGCTTAAGAAGAGTGAAATAATTTAAAACCCTTTAAATGCCAATATACTCGGTATGTATATTTTGATAGTATACAAGCTCTTATTCTAGAATTTTTTTAGAAGCACTTATGATTGTATTTTAAGAAAATGTTTGTGCCTAATTCTCATTGGTTTCAATCGGGTGAGCTGGGCATTAATGACTTGATTGTTGTGATTTCATTTCTTATTTTTTCATCTATTAGTTTGACTGAGTTTTCCTTTTGATTGCTCTGGCTTGATGCTTCTATTCTGAAGTGTGGAGCTACTTACGTATTTTGAAGGGATCTGTTGAAAGGTGCATGATATTAATCTGTACTTATTGGTTCAAGTGCAATCAACATTTATTTTAAAATATAAATAATTTCAGTCTTTAAAACAGGCCAGTGCATTAGTTATGTGTGTATCTACCAAGTCAGATCATAAAAATATGGGTAATCAAATACATGGCTGAGATGGCTGTCACATTTGATGGAATGTGTAAATCCAGTGTTAAAAATGATGTCTGCTTATTCATTTCATGGGATTTAAAAAAGCTTCATAGACTTGGAGCACACAATGCTGACCAGATTTATTCATATTATAACTTCTTTATTTTATTTTTAATGTGTGTACCCCTTTCAAGAAACAGAAAAACCTGGAAACTTCAGTCATACAATGCAAATAATTTCTATTCAGAGAAGTATATTATTTAGGGTATACACAAAGCTTACAGGATGTTTCAAATTTCTGTCCAACAAAGCTCTAGGAGAAAAAACAGCTTAAACTCATCCTTCTCATGGAAGCAGGAAATAAATATTTCTAAGATTCTGATTATACCTCTGTGCTGCATGTCATATCTTCTGTACATTAAGAAGATACAGATGAAATCTTGGAATTTCCAGCTTGTGTTTAATGGTCCAGCCAGCATATGTATATAATACAAAATAATCATAATAGATCAAGGGTAAAAACTCCAGCAATTTTGGCAGATCTCAGTCTAGCTTGTGAGTAGTAAAGTTTACATATTTTAAATCTTTGGCTGTGCAAATCTGTTTTGCAATGTTTGTGTTATCTGTCATGCTGCTGAAGATGGTGGTGAATTCCTTTGATTCTCCACTAGTTCAATTTTCTAATTCTTTATCAGACCAGTATGTATTCAATGCATTACAGTCTTGAGACTGGCCAATGGGCAATGGTAAAAAGAATGGAATCTATAGTGCCCTTGATGAAGGGCTGCTGGGATTGTGCAGTCCTGGTGAAGAACTGGTTAGTTTCTGACAGATATTCAATTCCTCCTCTTCCTAATTTCTACATAAGGCAGTTGAGTTTGAACATTTTATGTGAAGCAATTTAAGTTAAAATTAGCTGTAATTGCCTGTTGGTGTGCAGGTGACAACTGGTTGTGGTGCGTCTGCTTATTCTTAGGCTCTCAGAGAAACCAAATGAAAAATTGATGTTAAAATGATCAGTAATGTAGCTTGATAGAAGGAATGCTATATAATAGCAGAGAATTCATTCCTTTTGTTTGGCTTAATATCATGTTATCTGTGATATAAGTGATTGTGATATTTTGTACAAATAATATGAGCTTCTTCCAGGTTTCAATGGAAAAAAATAATTATCTGTAACCTAGGTAGGTCATTGCAGATATGAGACTGAAAAATGAAGCAAAACAACTCATAAATGTCCTCACAGTGTATCTTGGTTCTAGACAGTTAAGGCTGTCGCTGCATGGACTTGTTAAGTCAATTAAGCCTGAATTTGCTTGTAATTGAATTGTCAGAAATTGTGTTTTTATTTCATATGCATTATTGTCAGCTTTTGGTAATTACCTCATAAATTGATGAAGCTCTGAAACACTGCAAGTGATTTTATATTCCCCATAGAAATCTAGATGATTTCCATTTTCTGTTTTCTGTGTATGTAATGATTTTATAAGACAATGGTTTTTTGAGTTTCTTTTCTCTTTTTAAGATATCTTTGTAAATGAAATGGGGGAAGTTGGTGAATTATGTTCACCTCTTATGGGAAGTAATTTTAGTTAAAATTTGCTGCAATTGTCTGCTCATGTGCAGGCAGCTTCTGGCAGAAGGGTCACATAAATGTAACTATTTTTTAATTTTATTTTTTTCTGGGAGATCATATGAAAATGAAGGCCTTTGAGTACTGGCTTAATTCCAGACTTCATTTCAGGATATGGTACATCTTGAGACGTATTAGGAGCAATGTAAAGAAAACAAGTTCCAAATCCAATTATACACATGTATTGATGGAGCCACTATTTGAAATGGTTTACCAAATAATTTCAATCTAATAGCAGAATTAAAATGGGAAATAACTTCACTTGCCTCAAAATTTCTTCTATTTAATTTTGAATAGATAGCATTACAGGGTGTGTTCTTATATGCACAATTTACCTATGAGACAGAGACTTTAAATGACTTGTGTTAAACTTTAAATTGTCATCAATTTACCTAATCTCAAAATACTTTAATAACATTCATAATCAGGGAAAAATTAATTACAGTTTTAATCCATTTAAGATGCACTTCATTTTGTTACTTTCCGTTTTGATGGAGATGTAACACATCTCAAATGTGCTGAAAAAGATCTTTACTTTTACGTTTTAAGTAGAAATAAAGCACACCCATTCGTTTCTCAAGCCAGGACATATCAGGAAAGAGGAGTACTTTGGTGTTTTATTTTAAAGCCTCAAGGTTTTTTGTAGGCCCATTATGGGCTGTGAAACTTTCCATCTAGAAGAGTAGATATTCAGGGGTTGGAAATGAAGAGTGATTTCCGGAGTTTAATAACATTGAGGCTCGCAAAAGATATGTGGTTAGTCTGAACATACTTTTCATCTCTTTTGAATAGACTGTGAATCGAGAGCTCCTTAAAACTCCCGAGGTATCCAATCTTGCTTCCTGGAATAGAGTCTTATAGCAGCTTTCAGCTCGTAAGAAATATGCTCGTATAACCAAAGACAGGATTTGTCATAAATTGCTGTGTAACTATGTGAGAATGTTACTGGCTTTCTCTAACAATCATGAAAACAAGTGACAGATCTCTGTGTCCAGGCAATTTCACAGATTAGAAAATTAGATTCTTCAAGGCCGAAGTGCACATTCTAATGATGTTCTGTTGTTACATATTTTCAAGACCCTCAGGGTTTTGGCACATTCCTTACCACCCTGCTGTATGCTAGGGAGTTTTTCTAGTCAAAAATGATTGCCAGTATGTCTCTTCTCCACAAACTATTATGTTACAATTTGCAGACTGAGTGTACAGTTTATTGGAGAGAGAGTGTATGAAGCTGTGGGAGTTCTGCAGAAACGTGCTGGAGCTCTGAAGAACACGAGAGCTGGACAGCAGCTGAATTTGGAGATTGCTATGTCTACTCAATTAGGCCAAAGTCCTTTTTTCTTATAGATATTTAGGCAAAACCAGAAAGAACAAATCCGTAACGTAGGTGACAAGAAGACACCTCAGTAAAAATTAATTACTTAGGCTATAGACCACTCACTGGATGCTGTAAGTTTGAAGGTTTTTAGAGCTGATCTTGTTCCCAGTGTTATTCAGTTATGAGATGATCGAAAACAGGCTGTGCTACTTGCACTTTTTCTTATTCAGGAAGGAAATGCCCCCTTTTTTTCTCTTATTTCTTTTGGTGACTTATTTGCCCTTATTTTGACTGACCAGCGGGCCAATATGTGGCAATAAGAATTAAGGAGGTTTTTTTGTTTGTTTCATTATATGCTTCATTGTACGTTTCAATTATTGAATTTGTCCTTCAGGCTGCATTCTACTGTTACATCCTGTACAAACTAAATGTGATGTGGCAAGACAGGAGAATTCAAAGTGATGCCTTAGAGTAAAATTTTTCTGAACTCCCTTTATACCTACTCTTAGTTTTATGGGGAGACTTTTTGGTAATCACTTTGCAAATATTTTCACATAACTCAACAATGTCTGTCTTTAGCACTCAGAAATAACCTTTCTTTTAAAAGGACCTTTTACGTTTCCATTAATCAAGCAGGTCCTGCTTGACAAACCTGATCTCCTTTTATGACAAAGTGACCCGCTTGCTGGATGAAGGAAAGGCTGTGGATGTTGTTTACCTGGACTTTAGCGAGGCCTTTGATACAGTCATCTCCCACAGTATCCTCCTGGAGACACTGGCTGCTCATGGCTTAGATGGGTATACTCTCCACTGGGTTAAAAACTGGCTGGAGGGCTGGGCCCAGAGAGTGGTGGTGAATGGAGTCAAATCCAGTTGGTGGCCGGTCACGAGTGGTGTCTCACAGGGCTTGGTACTGGGATCCGTTCTCTTTAATATCTTTATCAATGATCTGGATGAGGGGATCGAGTGCATCCTCAGTAAGTTCGCAGACGACACCAAGCTGGGTGGCAGTGTTGACCTTCTGGAAGGTAGAGAGGCTTTGCAGATGGATCTGGACAGGCTTGATCGATGGGCTGAGACTAACAGGATGAGTTTCAATAAGGCCAAGTGCCGGGTCCTGCACTTAGGTCACAACAACCCCATGTACTGCTACAGGCTTGGGGAAGAGTGGCTGGAGAGCTGCCTGGCAGAAAAGGACTGGGGGTGTTGGTCGACTGTCGGCTGAACATGAGCCAGCAGTGTGCCCAGGTGGCCAAGAAGGCCAACGGTATCCTGGCCTGTATAAGGAACAGTGTGGTGAGTAGGACCTGAGAGGTGATCATCTCCCTGTACTCCGCACTGGTGAGGCCTCACCTCGAGTACTGTGTCCAGCCCCTTACCACAAAAAAGACATTGAGGTGCTGGAGCGGGTCCAGAGAAGGGCCACGAAGCTGGTGAGGGGTCTGGAGAGTAAGTCTTATGAGGAGTGGCTGAGGGAGCTGGGGTTGTTCAGTCTGAAGAAG